AAGTTTTCTTTTAAATTGAATTTTTATTTTTTGAGAAGAGAATTAGTTTGACAGAAAATAGTCTCTAAAGGCTGCCCACTCTCAGCAGACATCAGGGAGGTGAATGGATGACTGGTGTGTTGGACACCTGAAGGCTGAGATTTTATAAAGCTCAGAAGGGCTCCACATGCTAGGCATGCACACCTACAAACCTAGCACTCAGAAGGCTGAGGCAGGAGGACTTCAGTTTAAAATCAACCTGGGCTACACAGCAAGACCTTGTCTCAAACACAAAACAAAAGGCCCAATGGTCCCTGCTGCCTCCCAAACATAGCTTAGTAACTAACAATTCTTTTTTTCTCACAGCACTTAAGCATATGGCAAGCAGCATGCCACAATTTCTTATGATGTTCCTCTGTTCCCACTAGACCATGTACCCCACAGAGCCAGAGTTTTTCCTGTCTTGTGTTTTTCTCCCTGCCACGTCTCCAGCCCTTGAATAGGAGCCCAACACATGTGCTGAATGAGCACCTGAATGTGTTTGTAAAATATTCATAGTAACTTCACTATGTGATTTCATTTCATTCTCGCAGGAGTCCCATGCAGGAGATAAACGTGAAGTTTAAACACGAGGTTTTTCACAGAAGAAAAACATGAGGTAAAGGCTGACCTTGTCTTGAACTTGTAGAGCTCCTAAAGGCCAAGATGGAATCCAGCTTTCTGCATTCACAGTACAGTCATTTTTCAGGAGACCAGAGACTGGAAAACTGGGGCTCAAGGCCATGTCTGGACTCCCTGTTTTTGGGAATAAAATTTTATTGGCACACAGCCACATTTGTGACATATCATTTACAGCTGCTTTCCTGATGTTGTAGTATAGTTGAGTAGTAGTGATGGAGACCATGGCCCACGATGTTAAAATATTTACTATCTTGCCTTCTGTGTAGAGTGCTGTCTGCGCTGGGACCCGACCTCTACCTGGGACCCACAGATACTCAGGGTGGCAAGTATATGAAGGTTATTTTCATAACAACAGTACAGAGTAATTGTCCTCTTTCGCTGTGCTAACGTGTATACTGATGGGCAGAAGCAATGGTGGACGTAGGACTTTCATGGGGATGCCGAAGCAAATGACCACGACCTGGCGGGCTTAAGCAATAGAAATTTTTGTTTTGTTTTGTTGAGAAATGTCTCACTATGTAGTTCTAGCTGCTCTTGACTTGAAATTCCCCTGCTCCAAATGCCCCAACAGCCTCGATTGTTGAGATTACAGCTATACCTCACTTCCCCTGACCCTCTAACTGTTCTGAAGGCTGGAAATCAGCTCGAGCCCAGCTCCCTCCAGAAGCACTGGGGCAAAATTGTGTTGTTTGGTTCCTCCAGCTTCTGATGCCTCTAGGAGCTCCTCGGCTGTGCAGCTCTCTCTCTCTCTCTCTCTCTCTCTCTCTCTCTCTCTCTCGGTCCAGGTGCAGCTGCCTCTCTCTCCCTCTCTCTCTCTCTCTCTCTCTCTCTCTCTCTCTCTGTCTCTCTCTGTCTCTCTCTCTCTCTCTCTCTCTGTCTCTCTCTCTCTCTCTCTCTCTCTCTCTCTCTCTCTCTCTCTCTCTCTCTCTCTCTCTCTCTCTCTCTCTCTCTCTCTCTCTCTCTCTCTCTCTCGGTCCAGGTGCAGCTGCCTCTCTCTCCCTCTCTCTCCCTCTCTCTCTCTCTCTCTGTCTCTCTGTCTCTCTGTCTCTCTCTCTCTCTCTCTCTCTCTGGGTCCAGCAGATCGAACTCAAGACCTCACACTTGCGAGACAGGTGTGGCTCCACTGAGCTTTCCCCGGCCCCTCCCCATCTCCGTGGAGTCCCCTCTTCCCCGTGTCATCTTTTACTCCGTTTCCTATTTGGACATCTGTCATTGGATTTAGGGCCCACCTGGATAATCCAGGGCCATTTCATCTAGAGACTCTTTTACTTACACTTGCAAAGACTCTATTTCTGAGTAAGTTAGTATTTTTGAATCCCAGGGGTCAGAATGTGACCATGACTTCTGAGAGCCGTCATTCAGCTCACTCTGTGGCCCGTGGCTGTGCCACCAGATGGAACTTGGGATCATTATACACTTTATCGTCACGCACCAAGGGGGAAAAAGCCATTCTACTTAAGAATTTCCTTGATGCAGCAATAAAAAATTACTTCCATTAAGTTCGGATCTTTGAATACACATCTTTTTAGCATTCCATATCCTGGAGTCCTGCGATCTTTGAGTGAAAACAGGGGAGGGGTTTGTGATACAAACTTCTCAGAATTTACCCCTGATCTTCCACTAGGTAAAGATGTTGAGGGCCAAAAGTAAAGAACACATATTAATGTATGCATCCTACCACGTCCAGCTTGCTCTTCTGCATTTTTCATTTTATGTCAAGAAACATTACTTTTTTTTTTGTACCAAGGATTGAACTCAGGTCCTTGTGCCTGCAAGTGGCGGCACCCCTAAGCTAAATCCCTGGCTCCTGTTATTACTCTTACAATGGAGAGAAAAATCCTTTTCATGTTTGTGTAAAAGAGTTCACTTTCCTTCTGAAAATCAGGAAGACAAGTAGCAGGCAAGGAAACTGGTGGTCACATGTTGGTGACATAGACTTGTGCTGAGAAGATACAGCCTGATCTCCTGTCTCCCTGCTGGAGGACATGAGGCCCTTCTGAGCGCTGGAATCACAGGTGTGCCACCACACCCCCTAGATTTTCTCTTTTGAGGTGCGAGGCATTGTTTACCAGCACGACAGTACCACCTTCAGGCTAGCAGGATGCAGTCCTTTGAAAACTTGAAGGTCAGACTCCTGGCTTCCTGTCTTGCTGGGGCAACTCTTCCCTCCACTAGGGACCTCCCTCTCAGGGAGCTTGCTTCAGTCAGAGCAAGGTAACAATTTGAATTTGAATTTTATTTATTTTTTTGGTACCAGGGATCAAACTCGGGTCCTTGCACTTGCAAGGCAGGCGGCGGAACAGCTGAGCTAAATCCCCAGCCCTGTTTTTATTTATTTATATTTTTTTCTACAAACCCTTGTGTAGAGGGCTGACTTCATAGATCGCAGAGAGGGAGCTGCTCTGCTAGGTACAAAATGCAAGATAGCAATTGGCATAAGTCTCTCTGTGCACTTTCCCTTCCTCTCAGGGTCTTAACAGATGCCTCCCAGGCTGTTGGATTCTGGGAACCCAGCAATTTTATGTAACTGTATTGCTGACAATTCTTTCCCCTTATTTTTTTCTTTTCTTTTTTCTGGTACGGGACATCAAACTCAGGACCCTGAGCTTTCAAGGCAGGCATGGTGCCACTGAGCTAAATCCCCAGCCTGTCTGCCCCTTCTTTCTTACTTCCAATGATGAGTGATTTTGCTGGAGGAACAAAGTGGTAGGATCTCATTGAAATGCTGTGTATGCAGTGTCTGTGCGTATGTATGGTGTGTGTGTGCACGGTGAATGTACGTGTGATTAATCTGAGCAGTATGCATGCGTGTCAACTGTGCATCTGTGTATGTGGCATGAGTGGTGTGTGTGCACTGTGATGTGCTGCTGAGTTTCAGCGCAGGTTGGCTCTCTTGGGATGAAAGGTAGCTACTACCAGGACTCGCCACAGACTCTCCCCATCCATGACAGGCCCATCCTCACTTCTTGTCTGCTTTCACCTCTCTTATCTTCTGTAAGGAATCTGGAGTAATGCATCTTCCAAATGTGGCTGTCGTCGAACCCACCCACCTCCTTCCGTGGAGAACAGTCCTTCTAGGAAGTACAAAAGCACAGTGTGGCAGGTATCAGCCCTGGTGTGACAGATAGACTCCCTGGACCAGCCAGTTCCCTTGAGGAAAGGCCTTCCAGGTGAAAGGTTAAGATCACTCCGACCCTAACTCTCTCGGTGCCTCTCAGTGCCTCCGGCTCTGGATCAGGCCCTGCAGGTCACCTCTGCTCTGGGCTTCCAGGCAACGCTCCAAGCAAGACCTCTTGTCCTTCCCAGGGAATCCAGTAGCTGCACAGCTGATTCCTTTCATTTCTGTTCACTTTCAGGATTATGTTTGTGCCGCTTGACCCTTCCTGCTAAGGGAGAAATCGGTTTGAAAACGTGACAGCACTGACACCTTCGTCCCGCCAAGGAGTCTGAACATGCCCGGCTGCTCTTATAAATGGAGAATCTGAGGCAAAAGGCATTCTACGGCCGGTTGTCTTTCCTGAGCAGCCTGGATGCTGAGCAGGGAGAAATTTTACCAGCTGCATGCTCTCCAACCCTCACCTTTCAGGCAAGAAATCCCCTCTGGTCCACTTTCCACTTTCCCGTAGTCCAAGACAGACCCGCACAGCAGGCTCTGGGAGTTTCCAGCAATACAGGCCAGAGGTTTTTAACATCTCTCCTGTGGCAGTCCAGCCGTCACAACACGAACATGCCTGAGTTGGGGAGTGAGGATTGAGAAAGGAAAAACACTCACGCCTGAGTGGAGACCAAGAGAAGTCTGGTTTATTTCTACAGAAACAGCTTTCCTTAAAGGCACATCAACAGGGAGCATCAAGCAATCATCTCCATCATTTCTTATGCAAAAACCGGATTTTCTGACTCCTACAGATAACACCAGATCTTTGGCTATCTCTTTGAGTTCCTCCCACCACAGGGTCAAAGAACAAAAAAGCTTGACAAACAAAGTCCTTGAAAGGTAACAAATGCTACATAGCTTGTATCAATGCCTTCATTGTAGAGGAAGTTTCCTTTCAAATGCCAAATGCCAGAGAGCCATGGCGGGCTCCCACACTCTCCCATCTAGGTTGGTCCGACTGTATCTTCAGAACCAGTTTGACGCATCAGTGACATCACCGTTTCTTCGCACGAAATGCCACAGGTAGACTTTTCCCTGGTTGTCAAGCACGGCTTAAACTCCGGCCACAACGAAGATGGCTGCTACGCGTTTCCACCCAAAGCCACTCCAATGGAGCTAATACGTGAGGCTCCCGCCCACTTGGGGTGTGTGACTGCGTGACCGTCAGCCAATGGAAGTGCGCGTCTGGCCGCAGCCAATGGGAAGGCAGCGCGGGCTCCACTGCAGGAAGCTTTACCTATGGCCAAGAGCTCCGCATGGCTGGCTTACGGCGTCCGGACTTGTGGGCTCCGGGCTGCCGGAGGCCCTGGGAGGAGCTCTTGGGTGAGCGGGCGCTCGCTGGCCGGCGCTTAGAGCGGCGCTGCTTCTGGAGGCCCGGGTCGCCCGCACGTTGGCTGTGTCCCCTGGCTCTCCCTGGGGTTGGGTTCATCCGGCTGAGGGGCTGTTGTGGCGGGGCGAAGGTGTTAGTGCTGTCACGTATTGAAACTAATTTCTCCCTTAGCGGGAAGGGTCAAGCGGCGCAAACATAATCCTGAAAGTGAACAGAAATTAAAGGAATCAGCTGTGCAGCTCCTGAGACGCCACCTGAACTTGGAGGATCTTTTGCTTGAGGTAAGAGGGAAACCAGTGCACCTTGTGACCACAGTGTTGGTAAGTGAAATAAAGCCGACACACGTAACTTAAATATCGCATAACTTATGTGAGGCAGCCACAGCATAAATACTTTAAAGAAATAAAAGACACTAAGAAACAGGGAGATAGGTCTTTTGCACATGCAAAGGGAATCTAGAGGGAGTGTGGGGAGGGGAATTAAAAAGAATTAAGATGTGTTAAGTACCTGCACCTCCTCCCTAAGGTGAATGTAAACATTATGTACTGCGCACAAGCACTAATAAAAAAATAAATTCACATAAAAAAAGGAAGTTGACTTGGCCGTTGTCGGCAAATTTAGTTTTGGGGTTTTTGCACTGGGGAAGCACAGTGTGCCTGATGGACACAGCTGGAAGGAGCTGACCAGGTGACAGGAAAGGCTGGAAGCATTTACCTCTTTGGAGGTGAGCACCCTTGAATAAAGAATTTAATACTAATTTTCAAGAGGCTTTAGTAAGTTGTGCCTTTAAACATGTTTAAGAATGCCCATTATGCAAGTAGTCTATGCACTGAACCTGAATTTTAAAAGCAGCACTCTCCCTGTTCTGGTTTCTAGGTAGAAGATCCACCTTGTAAAAAATTGTGCCTCAGTAAATTGATCGATTGTGACAGGGCTGAGGCCTGCAGTGATCGTTCTAGCTCCTTCATAGGTAATTTGCAGCTTCATTTTCTTTCTTTCTTTCTTTTTTGGTGCTGGGGATTGAACTCGGGCCACTGTGCTTGCAAGGCAGGCGGCAGAACCAGGAAGCCAGATCCCTGGCCCCTGCAGCTTCATTTTCTTAATTGAATTATAGAGGACTCTTTATAAGTGACTGACCTGCTTATAAGTAGAAATTTGAATTCCCCCAAATAACGGCTTTCGGCTTGTAGGTATATAGTTACTAATTGCATGTAATATTTTGTGACTTGTTTTGGGTTTTGTGTCTAGGTGTCACCCCCATCCCAGTTTGAGAGTGAGATAGGGGGAATAACAAAAAATAAGCCACTTTCTTTTTGTTTGTTTAATCTTATTAAGTTTACTGGTACTTTTTAGGTATGCAGTACAGTTACATTCATCATTGGGATCTTGTACCTTTACATGACAGATCTTGGTTCTCGTTTTTTTCCCATACCCCTGCCTCCCTTCACCCACCATTTTCTTGTTCTTCACATTTTTAGAATGTAATGACTGTTGTTTCAGAAAGTGATATTAACTAATTCATTTTAAAGTATATTAGAAATAATCTTAAATTAATACCTCTGCTTTGACAACTGATCACCGAATGCCACTGGTAAACGATACAGCTTTTCCTTGCCATAATTACATTTGAAATTGTCAGATTATGCACCACCAGTCCAGGGAACCAAGCTTAGCCATACATTTTTTTTTTTTTTTTTTTTTTT